GAAATCAATCACTTTCGACATCTTGTCATAAGACGGTAACTGACCTGACAGAGAAAGTTCACTGGGCGCCACAGATTCTTGTAGTTAGATCTGCAGCACCCCCGAGGGCTCCGACACCTCCAACAATTCAGACCTTACACTGTCACCATGGTTACTACTGCCTGACACCTCTGGCAATGGCAAATAGACTGACCACAGTGGAACATTTGAGACGACATTGGCAGAGCCCGTGTGCATCGTCACACAATAAAGACCTCAGGGCATGAGGGAACACTGAGAGCCAGTTACACTTAGAGAAAGCAAAGAACTTCATGGACAAACACGAGGGTGAAAAGGGGGACGGCACTGGCAGGGTGTCCATCTCCAGCTGGCGTAACGTGGAATGTTAATTAGGCCTGCAATAACAAGACACCACCCTCTTAAATGTCACATCCTCGTGAGGAGAGCAGGGGATGGCGAACTTCTGTCAGGCAAAGGGTGTCATGCTTTGTTTGCTTTTTCAGCATGGATTTCTCTTCTGTTGCCTCTACCCCAAGCATTTTCTCTTATCATTCTCCTGCTCCTGCCCTTCTGCTATGCTGTTTACTCTGTGATGAATGGCTTCATTTCAGGTTGAGCTCTTTTTTTAAAAAAAAAAAAAGCTGGAATAGATTACAATCAGTGCAATTGTGCAGAAATAAGACTCATCTCACTGAAAAAGAAAAAGAAATAATTGAGGAGGGGGCAGCAGAGGATGGAAAATATAGAGTGCAACTGCACTTCACACTAATGCAGAAATTGTCAGACCCATCTCTGATGAAGGTGTTTTGGACTGCAGGGGCTCTTACAAAAAAGGTCTTGATAAGAGCGCTCAGGGGCCAGGAGAGGATGTAAACAAATATCGTGGTGGTTTGTAATGAGACATGACACAGTGAGAATACTGTGGCCTTTCAAATGGCAAGCCTCGTTATCAGTCTGGTTTCACAGCCTCAGAGGGACAAAGATTCTGATAATGGGTCATCAGTAACGAAGGGTTGGACAGAAGACCTGCTGAAGCTTAATATGAGAGGTTGCTGAACTACTGAGCTAATGTGGGAGAGACACTTTACACAGTGTGTGTGGTTTTACCATTGACATTTAAGTCTGTGGTTTTCCCGCTCAATCAGTTACTACATTTACTGGTACAGCAGCACACAGCTTCTTACACTAGCTATGTCCTTGTCCAACGTATCCGTCCTGGAAGCCAAAATTTGCAGAACAGCTCATTCTCCCGAATCAAAAGCAGCGATGGATTGATTTTGTGAAGAGTCGTATTGATGTGTGTTGTGTGTTAGCACCACAAACAACTTCTACCAGGGTGACTTTTTATGTTTTGGGGGTTTTCTACAGATTTTATTTTTGGGAATTTTAGCCCTTATTCACCAGGACAGCGCAGCTCAGACGAGCCACACTGAAACCATACTGTGGCCATTTTACATTAGGAACTTCTAATTTTTATTAAAGCCAGCTGGAATTTAAGGATTATCCCCTTATTACAATTAAATAAGCTCATACAAACCATCTTCACTGCCAGCATTTATCATCCCAACCCACAGCTACTGATGCACTGCTCATGTACATCCCAAATCCAAAAAAGTGTGGGCGCTTTATAGAAAAACAATGCAATGACTTGCAAATCCGAGACCCGTGGATCATGGTCACATATGGCTTCTTCTCTGCATGCTAGAGCTTCAACCTGCATTACATCAGAAACACTTTGCCTCTCTAAAATGCTCTTTTTTCTTTCTTTTTTTACCCAGTGAGCTAACTAGGTTAAATGACATTTTGTCAGTTTGTTATAAAATGTTCCTCCAGCTCTCTCATTTCAGTGCCACTTATTATTTTACTCTTTTGTTGCCCCATCCCAACTGTTGTGAGACTTGCTGATTTGAACTGAATTTCCATCAAATTCAAAATAAGCTAGTATTATTCATAAAATACTAGAATTGCACATAGTGTACCAATTAGGGCTGTGCACAAATGGGCAACTTAGTCCACGTAATTCTTTTGAGCATTAACGGGACTATTAAAAATAATAAACTGGCATATGTACATCAAGATTTAGCAACAACATTAGCATTTTACAGTGTTTCGAACATTAGAATTAATGAACTAGAATAGAACATTTGATTGATTAGATCAGCTACTGGCAAATAGCAAAGACCTTCAATCATTTGATCTAATTCATTTTTTCCATTCATTCAAATTTGACTGGGTGTTTAATAACACATGAATCTGCCAAGTGACAAACCCAAAAGATATTAATGCTCGGCGTTCCCATTTCAGTTTCAGAATGTGCATTATCACAGTCTTATTATTTTTGATTATTTAAAGTTAATATAGCGCCTGAATGATGACCTAAGGAGACTATTCAATGTTAAGTAATATATGAATTACTTGAAATCATAATTGCCTCCCTCACAATTCAACCAAAATTAATCACATGTGGCAAGTGAATTGGAAAATGAATCCCTCCTGCTGGGGTGGAAAGAGAACCGTGATTTACAACAAGGAGGTTTTGTCCTGACAGTTCAATGATAATGAAAACTGAAAGGAACGTTTTAGTGGAGGTGAGACAGAAATGAGTGAGAAAACGAAGAATTTAAGTGCAAATCTTTGAATTACATCCTAAATCAAGGAAAGACACTGGAGCAGCTGAAAGGCTGTGGTGGGAGGGATTGTCGAGCAACAGGGTTTCCTCTGCTCTGTTCCAGAAGTTTAAAAAAATAAAAAATAAATAAAAAATATTATTTTCCA